CACAGTAAAATTCGTTAAATTCACTAAAGAAATTAAGAAATCAATCCCTTTTTCTAAGATTTGTTAAATATTTCGATAGCAGGATAGGACACTGGTATCAGAGACCAAAAGAGACAAATAAACAAGTGTAAGGCAAAGTTTTACTTACCTAAACATACGGACGAAAGAATGTATAATAGTTGTAGAAGTCCCATTTTAAGAGATAGCAATAGTTTCAAATACGAAGCAAATAATGTTAGAAACTTATATAAAGATGAATACACCCACTCGTTTCCATTTATAGACCTGAACCTGACATGTTGACATGATAACTGTAATTTTTGTACTGTAATGGAGAACAAGAAAAGAAAAGATAAGAACAGAAAAGATATATTCATTTTAGATTAAAAAACTAAGTATCTACAAATACATACATGTATAATTAATACAAATAATAAAGTAAAGAAAATGGATATTTGTAATTGAAATTCACAACATATCATATTTAAAGACTTATACTTCAGTTTGAATATTTGGTGTATGACTGACATAGGTCAACTTTAATTAATGTAAACACAGGCCACATGGAAATATTCTTGCATATCAGACAGGATTATCTACCGTTTACACCGGTGCAAGAAAACCCTGTCTTACACCCACTATGTAAGACAAGTCGCGTGCTTTAAATGACGTCATTGCTGCGCGCCTTTTATGAATGAAATGCGTTCTTATGATGAAGTCACTAAACCATTATGAATGAAGTTGTGCGTTCATACGCTACTATAAGAAAAAGTGCGTAATGATAATATCGGTTTTCGTAATTTCTGTTCTGGAAATAATTGATATGTAATATGCAAGAAAAAGAATCAAACACCGGCTGTCGGTACAGACGGGAATATCTAGCTCTCGCGGAAACTCGGCAGAGCCTCGTTACCGCCGTAAACAGTCACCATCGAGCTAGATATTCCGGTCTGTACCGGCAACCAGTGTAAGATTCATATATACCATTACCTTAAAATTAGTTCTGACGCAAATTATGTGATGATTTCTACACCTACATTTTTGTATAGATTTTTAATCTTAATATTACGTGTCGACAATTCGCAGATTTCAATGAATGTTCTGTTGTATTGACTGTTTTTGTGTGTAGAAAACACGACTATAACAATACAAATACTTGTTGTTGTTTGTCTTGAATCGATAAAATAACAATTCAATTATATTGGTGTTTGCATTTACTTAAATTTGGTACTGTAATACATGTGTACTAAACTGAACAAAGAACACGTGACCTTGTGTCTTAAAAATAATTTCAGTTGATGAGGTATTGCAAATTTATTAAGTCAGTTCGCTATTATAAAGGCCCTATATGCCTTGAAATGCTTTCAGTTTTTTTTCTCAAAAATGGTGGTGTACTTTTATTGTATCCAGAAAATTACTCACTGACCAATTATCTGAATAATCTGTTTCATCTGTTACATTTTGGCAATAACTAAAGATATAGTGAATAAATATTTTGTATGGAAGTCAAAATACTACTTTGCTTACATTTTGCTATTTTTATGAAAAATTGTTTCATTTATCGCTACTTTCTTCAGGCTACAAGCATCTGTCACTCTCTAAAACTGTTATATTATACAATTCATGTTTACTCTTTATGAAGAAGTAAAAATTTATTTGTTTCTGAGGCATAATATGTCTTTAAGGTTGTTTTTTTCTCTCAGATAATAATTATGATAGGAAAATAGATAGAAATAATAGAAATGTTTAAAGAAAGAATCTGTTGAACTTTAAAGAATTTATTAAGTTGCTAAAATTTAATTCATGCAATTTGTTTAGGTTGGGCATACCTTGTCTTTGCAAAAATATCGTTTACCATGTACATGCAACTAACAGAAATATATACATTTGCACTTTCTTTTTGAAGATAAGCATCCAATACAATTGTTCACAATTTAAAGATCAGAATGAAAAATTCATCTTATATACTTGCTGCTAAATATGACTTTCATATATCCTACAGCTGAAATCAATTTTGTAATTGACATATTTGCAGGAAACATATAAAATATCAGCTACATTTCCTCGTTCAAAGTCCCAAGTGAACCATCTTTTAAAATTATTTTCCTAGAAAATGGCCAATTGTTTCGGTAAAAATCGAATTTCCGTCTTGTAAAAGTGTGAGACTAGCTTACCTAAACCGATAATGAAACATACTGGATCAGAAAACATATTAAAGATAGCATTGAATTTCTTTGTATGTGTTATTCGTTTTACCAAGAAGTCAGGCAATGAAGCACACTGGAACCATTGCGTCTGCTTTTCAATCAAATATACACAAAGATGCAACAGCTTGTGGGTTTGTTTTCCCGGGAGAATTTAGGTCGTCGTGAAGTTTTTTCAATAATTTTAAAACCCGGTTGCACATTTTTTCCTGTTCAGTAAAAATTTTTATAGCCAAAAATTTAAAGCTTTTCCCCGGGAAAAATAAAAAATAATAAAAAACATTAAAAAAAAGATTTTATTTTGTATTATTTTTGAAGCTTTTGATAAATTTAAAACCGGAAAAGCTGTGTTTTTTTTTTAAAATTTTCTTGCTTTAAGACTGCTTTTAAAAACATTTTTTTCCCCAAACACATAAAAGTTTTTTTCTTTTAATTTTTTAGCCATGAAATTTTTTTCCCTAAAAATCTTGGTTTTTTTTCTGACAAAAAATAAAAGACTAACATGAAAATTTTTTTCCCAAAAAGGCCAAATTTGATATTCCGTGTTAATATCGCATAAACGAGTCATGAGATAATAACTTCGGCTATTTTTAAACTTTTTCTAATTCAATGATTGAATGACTCAAAAGTTAGAAAGCTATCCTGAGGACAGTTTCCGGACACGAAAAGCGATCAAAATGCCAAGTAGACCAATAAAGATAAATAGAGTTAAAAAATTGAAGTAATAAAGTATGCATTTGTTGCATAAAAATTTGACCTATTCAGTTAGTCTTTGAGAATCATTGCTTGATCGTAATATCATAGACTTTACTCTTTATAAAGTTGAGATTTTCTGTTTAATCAAAATCTGAAATCATATGGTAAAAAGGTCACTTTCCTGAATTAATTTTTCCTTTTAAAGAAAGAAAACAACAAAAACAACAAAAAACAAAACAAAACAGACAAAAAATTGTTCATAGAGCATGAACTTTGACAATTTATTTTCTTACTCTATCTGTATTGTCGCCCTTACACAATAGTGGATATTTTCTTTTAATGTTCCCATGTAGAATTTAAAGTAGATCGCTACAAAACAAATAAAACACAACCATTTCGAAACATATTGACTTATTCAACTTTTGAGCAGCATCTGAAGAACAAATCGATTGTATAATTTATGAAAATACGTAAACAAGTTTAGCTTATAATTTTTATTGCATTTTATTCTTTTTTGAACTGATACAATATATTTGTGTATACCATATCTTATTATGGTTTCTTTAAGCATTCTCATTTGTTTGCTTTAGGATGGTTGTTAAGCATGTCTTGTTTTTTTAGCGACCTATCATTATGTTTGTCTGAATCCTCGATATATTTTCTCTATTTCAAGACATGCTTGAATGTCTGCTTTTGTCATTAAACGTGTTAATGCGATTATTACCGTCTGACTTTACTGTCCTCATTTGCAACGTTTGCAGTCAGTAGTTCATGACATTGCTTTGATTAACTTCATTTGAATTCTCCCTAACATAATTCCTATTTTTTCCTTGATGTCAAAAATTTCTTTGTTTCTTTGAATGAATAATGACATGAATGTGAAAGAAAAGAAGTTTTCGTGCCTAAACAATTGCAAAGACCGTATCGAAACATCACGAGTCTTTGAGTTTTTACCTTTTTAATGCATTTATTAGAATCTGACCCGTTGGACAACTTTAATTTTTCTAAGGCAAAACTTGAATGTAAAGTGTAGATGTTACTAAATCTGAAGCGTTATTTTCTCATTCATGCATTACTCGATATTTTCACGACAATTTACGGCGTTTTTGTAACATTTTTGTTCATCATATTTATTTATGTTATAAAAATTTCGTGAAGAGTTCGGACCAGCAAAGAATTACACAAATTACTTTAAATAAGGGACTGACGAGAGGAGATACATTAATTAAAGACTTTCAGAACATTTCTTATTTATATATCGTCTATGTTTAGCAATATACGGCCTATCTAATGACATCGCAAGTTAATTAAGTATATTCATTCATTTAAGACTTAAATCAGCTATTCAAAGCTTTACTTGCATATTAACAAATCCCGACTTCCCCTGGCCCTTAGGCAAAGTTAAACATAAAAATGCAGTAAGAACGTTTTATATATCTTTGATCGCCGTTGCGCTATTCAATATTTATGTATCTATTTCTACGATATAAAAACAAAACAAAACAATTATCATCGCGTTGGTTGACATACGAATATAGCATACTACTTTCTAGAAGTTACCATGGTAATCGGGTTTATCACATTAATGTCATTTAAAGACTTTGTTTGATTAATAAATCTTTTTTTCATCTTTTCAAGTCTATTTTAGTAACATTCATTTACAATCATTGAAAAAATTTAAATCATTAAAATCTTTAGATGTTGAATTCTTTCTTCAAAGTGTTTGCTACATTCACAAATTGTTTAGCCAATTGCAGTATTGACATTGGCCAGTGCCTGAAAAATTTCTTTCAATAACTGTTAGATTCAACAGGTAAAGTCCTTGCTCATGAATAATTAAAGCTTTTCCTAACATTTTGTGATTGTGCTTGATAATGTTGGCGGCAACTGAATTTACCAATGCGACTAGTGCATACCAAGATATATGCCGTCTAATCATCGTCTGCTTTGTTCGTTTCATATTTTGAAAAAATCTTTATTGAGACAGTATATATATTTTCCTTAAAATTGTGGATGGTTTTGTAAAGATTGAAAGATGGACAAGGGCATTTAAGTTATTTAGCATGGTAAGGGTTAATATTCAAAACACAAAAATACAAAGAATATTATTTTTGTTTATTGTCTTCATTTTGTTTTCAATTACTTCTCAATAAAGTGTAATTAATGAATTAATGGTGTCAAATTCAAGTTAATAATCTAACCAACAATGCTTATATCTGCACTTCCCCTGAAATACAAATACGAGAAATAAAATATCTAATCCTGAACTAAAGTGTTACAAAATACACATAAATAACATTTACCAGTACACAATTGAAATGACTTACATAAGACGTCATTTGATATATAATATTTAAACTTGACTTAAATTATAATCTTTAATCTTTAATAAAACTAATGGTGATAAAATGCTACTTTAATAATAATAATAATAATAATAATAATAATAATAATAATAATAATAATAATAATATAAAATAGTAATAATGATAAAAATATTAATGATACAAACGATAATAATAACCGATAAAAAAAAAAAACCCAAGGGAAAATTAGTATAAGAAAAAATTTTGCGTTGGCTTTTTTTTCTTTACTCAGTATAAAATTTTACTTTTTGCTTAAAAACAAAGCAAATTAGGAACATCCCCCACGGGGTTAAACACCCCATAGCTGGGCATTGTTGTCCACCCAAAATTGTCGGGTCCCGGGGGGGCCCATTTAAATTTGAAAAAAGGTTCAAGTTTTTCCCGGGAGAAGCCCCCTGCCCCCCCCCTGTAAAAAAAAATCTTTTTCCCGGGCCTACCCAAAATTTTTGGGCCCCTTGATATGTTTCAAAAAATTTATACAGATAAATAATTTTAGAGCCCCAAAAAATTTACATTTCGGGTTTTCTGAAAAAACAATTTTGAGCACATTAAATTAAAAAAATATTATTTTTGTTAAAAATGGGGACTTTAGGGCTTTGTAAAAGGAAATTTGTAAACCCAAAAAATTACCCTAAAACAAATCCCAAACTTTTAAAATTTAAATTCTTAATTTTAAGTTAAAGCGGTGGCCTTTTTCGAAATCAAAAACCCCGGGTTTTTTGGGCTTAAAGCCCTACTGGGGTCACACCCATTTTGACACAAAAACACCAGACTTTTTTTTAAACAGTAATTAAATGTTAAAAAAATTTGCCCAGTTTCTAAAATTTTTTTCCCTCTGTTTAATTTCGGGACTCAAGGGGTTATATAAGTTACTCACTGTCTCTCGTTTCATCACCCCTTTCCACAAACAAATCTTCTCGTTTTTTCTTTTAACTCGAGGGGAACCCCCCCAAAAGCTTTGCTTTGCTTTTGAAAAAAGTTTAAAATTTAAACTGAATTATTTTTAACCAAAAACCCGAAAAGTTTTTCCCACTTTTTAGTTAAACCACCCCTGAAAAAAAAACCCCGCCCACCACCATCGAAATACAATGTCAACATTTAGCGCGTGAGATTATCAACAACAAAAAAACGTAATGACGGCAACATTATACATGTACAGTTATTGGCATATATAACTGAAATGAAGCAACAACAACAACAAACTGCAATTGATTGATGGCAGCAACAACAAAAATAAATAGCAACAGCATCACAGTCGTGCCCAAAAGTCATTATAAATCAAAAACAGAAAACAGAAATATATTCAAATATGAATACACGAAAAACCATAAATGCTTCTACAATCACTGCGCGCTTTATCAGCAGTCACAAGCTCTTATACATTTTTGTACTGATCATTAAAATAACGGCACATGTCGTTCATACGAAACAAAGTTCAAATTATGTGACATTGTTGTTTTATCTGTGTTATCTTGACAATTCATGTTCAAAACATAAATCTGTATACTATTTATACCAAGGCAAGATTTATTTGCCAAAAAACCTACCTGGGCCTCTGCCCCACGAAAGCCTTCAATTGTAACAAAGGCATAACAATTATCACCATGTGAGGAGTACCCATCTTTACAGTTTGCACACCATACTGTCAGAATAGAACAAGATAATAAAACAAAATTGCAATACAATATTCTTTTTAGTATCAATATGTATATGTACTAGTACGCAGTCTTAATTATAATTATTGAAGAGTGTCATTTGAAAATACAAAAGCGCATAACAATAAGATATTAAACTTTCTAATATATCATTATTATCGGAAATAACAATGACGGCAACACCAAGGCCAATGACAACATCAAAAGTTTAGAAAACGCCAAACACGGCAAATTTTAAATTATTGTTTGATTGAAACGTTCGTAGACGGTAATGGTAATTGCAAGCTACCGTTCACGCCTCCATCGCCGTCTAAATTTAAACAATATTCAATATGTAAACAGTATAAAATAGAATTTTGAATGTGGAAACATAATCAACACCACCACAAGAAATGACCAGTATAACAAGAATTTACTTACCAAAATGAACATTTTATTTGGAAAGTTCTACTGGTTTTTAGTTACACTCAAATACAAAAAATATTATTGTGTTTAAAACATGCATTGTAACTGAGTCCTTACATTCTTAGCATTCTGTAGACATTTATAAAAACTTATCAATGTAACAATTTTTTTGGTGTCGTAAATTAATTATTTTCAGAGTAGGTAAAAATTTAATTAATTTAGTTTTTACTTACAAAAGTAAATAAATTCCTTTTTAATGTAGTTCTTTTAAATTAAATACACGACAACACTCCTTCTTTCAGGCATTTAGTTGTATTTTCATAAAGACAACTACATAATAGAAACAAGTCTAAGACGTCAAAGGAATGAAAAGGAAATATGGATTTTCATGCTAACCAAATGTTTGAAAAGTGGCAACCTAATAGGTCGTTCAATACGCCAAAATTGGAAAAAAGACTGTAGACTCGTATTAATTGAACCTGCCAATGAATGGTAGTGGTTGATACATGTCACTGTCCGTGCCCTCAAGCACCACAGTAAGAATACTTCAGTATTTACTTAAAAACTTAATGACATCTGTAGATGAAATGTTCATACGGTGGTAATTATGGTGACCAGTAATGAGACAATTAGCAATGAAAGATAAAAGTCATAGTAAAGTTCGTTAAATTCACTATAGAAATTAAGAAATCAATCCCTTTATCTAGGATCTGTTAAATATTTCGATAGCAGGATAGGATACTGGTATCAGAGACCGAAAGAGACAAATAAACAAGTGTAAGGCAAAGTTTTACTTACCTAAACATACGGACGAAAGAATGTATAATAGTTGTAGAAGTCCCATTTTAAGAGATAGCAATAGTTTCAAATACGAAGCAAATAATGTTAGTAACTTATATAAAGATGAATACATCCACTCGTTTCCATTTATAGACTTGAACTTGACATGTTGACATGATAACTGTAATTTTTGTACTGTAATGGAGAACAAGAAAAGAAAAGATAAGAACAGAAAAGATATATTCATTTTAGATTAAAAAACTAAGTATCTACAAATACATGCATTAATTTATAATTAATACAAATAATAAAGTAAAGAAAATGGATATTTGTAATTGAAATTCACAATGGTATAGTTAAACATATCATATTTAAAGACTTATACTTCAGTTTGAATATTTGGTGTATGACTGACATAGGTCAACTTTAATTAATGTAAACACAGGCCACATGGAAATCTTCTTGCATATCAGACAGGAGTATCTACCGTTTACACCGGTGCTAGAAAATCCTGTCTTACACCCACCATTTAAGACAAGTCGCGTGCTTTAAATGACGTCATTGCTGCGCGCCTTTTATGAATGAAATGCGTTCTTATGATGAAGTCACTAAACCATTATGAATGAAGTTGTGCGTTCATACGCTACTATAAGAAAAAGTGCGTAATGAGAATATCGGTTTTCTTAATTTCTGTTCTGGAAATAATTGATATGTAATATGCAAGAAAAAGAATCAAACACCGGCTGTCGGTACAGACGGGAATATCTAGCTCTCGCGGAAACTCGGCAGAGCCTCGTTACCGCCGTAAACAGTCACCATCGAGCTAGATATTCCGGTTTGTACCGGCAACCAGTGTAAGATTCATATATACCATTACCTTAAAATTAGTTCTGACGCAAATTATGTGATGATTTCTACACCTACATTTTTGTATAGATTTTTAATCTTAATATTACGTGTCGACAATTCGCAGATTTTAATGAATAAATGTTCTATTGTATTGACTGTTTTTGTGTGTAGAAAACACGACTATAACAATACAACTGTAGTAATTGACATACTTGTTGTTGTTTGTCTTGAATCGATAAAATAACAATTCAATTATATTGGTGTTTGCATTTACTTAAATTTGGTACTGTAATACATGTGTACTAAACTGAACAAAGAACACGTGACCTTGTGTCTTATAAATAATTTCAGTTGATGAGGTATTGCAAATTTATTAAGTCAGTTCGCTATTATAAAGGCCCTATATGCCTTGAAATGCTTTCAGTTTTTTTCCTCAAAAATGGTGGTGTACTTTTATTGTATCCAGAAAATTACTCACTGACCAATTATCTGAATAATCTGTTTCATCTGTTACATTTTGGCAATAACTAAAGATATAGTGAATAAATATTTTGTATGGAAGTCAAAACACTTCTTTGCTTACATTTTGCTATTTTTATGAAAAATTGTTTCATTTATCGCTACTTTCTCCAGGTTACAAGCATCTGTCACTCTCTAAACTGTTATTTGATAATTATACAATTCATGTTTACTCTTTCTGAAGAAGTAAAAATTTATTTGTTTCTGAGGCATAATATGTCTTTAAGGTTGTTTTTTTTCTCTCAGATAATAATTATGATAGGAAAATAGGTAGAAATAATAGAAATGTTTAAAGAAAGAATCCGTTGAACTTTCAAGAATTTATTAAGTTGCTAAAATTTAATTCATGTAATTTGTTTAGGTTGGGCATACCTTGTCTTTGCAAATATATCGTTTACCATGTACATGCAAATTACAGAAATATATACATTTGTACTTTCTTTTTGAAGATAAGCTTCTAATACAATTGTTCACAATTAAAAGATCAGAATGAAAAAATCATCTAATATACTTGCTGCTAAATATGACTTTCATATATCCTACAGCTGAAATCAATTTTGTAAATGACATATTTGCAGGAAACATATAAAATCTCAACTACATTCAATCGTAAAACAAATAAAATTCGAAGTCCCAAGTGAACCATCATTTAA